CATCTCATTGTATTATTATTTGTATACAACGAATTGATGGCTTACTAGTTCTGTAATCACTCAGTCAATGATCTGTTTGTTAAATTACGTTTGAAGTTTCATTGGTCTTGTTTGGTGAAGAGAAAAACTCTTAGCTAGCTGACAGTTTCTGCTGTCACTTCAGCCTTCGTCCAACCTGTCACTGCTTCCTTGTGACGCATCTTAAAAAACGAGCTCTTCGTTTGTCGTTTGTTCGATTATCGTTCACGTGAGTGTAAACAGGGTAACAAAATGATTGCTACATTTCAAAGTTATTTATTACACAATCACAATTTGACATTGCGCTAGAGACTTTAGCAAGGATCATGGAAGCTGACGCACAAATTGCTTTTGCGAGCCACATAAAATGATGTGTCGGGCCGGATCTGGCCCCCGAGCCTTGATTTTGACACCCGTGCGTTAATGCAAACATCATTGACAGCAGAACGTCTATTTTTGAGTGCGTTAAATTACATTTCAATATTATTTATTACACAATCACAATTTGACATTGCACTAGAGACTTTAGCAAGGATCATGGAAGCTGACGCACGAATTGCTTTTGCGGGCCACATAAAATGATGTGTCGGGCCGGATCTGGCCCCCGGGCCTTGATTTTGACACCCGTGCGTGAATGCAAACATCATTGACAGCAGAACGTCTATTTTTGAGTGCGTTAAAGCTCTGGGAATGAAGAGTAGACCCAAGTTTTGAATCGACAGAAAGTCAAAGCTAACTTGTTAATATGGCCCAACAGAAAATCATAACTTGACTGTACATTTCAATTGTAGCTTTTCACCCTTGCGGTGTCAGGAGCACGTTGGATTCAACTGTTGCCGACCTCCAAAAACAAATCCAGGCGTGCGCTTGAAATGTTAAAGCAAAAAATAACGTCGCCAACGCAAAGTCAAAGCGAAGGGTTGACGCGTTTGCCTTGACTTTTTTTAAACTGTTCTCGACTCTCAAGGACAAACCAAGGCAATGTTTCAGCCGACTGTGGGCTGAAGGGAATCCGAAAAAGGCATCGTGATTTGCTTCCCTTTTTACATTCGGATAATACTGAAAACTTGAAGAGACAAGCACCAGCGCCCTTCTTCATCTTACCGAACCAAATCTTTCGTGTAAACTGCGTTCCTTTTTCTGTTGGCGTCGCAGTGGTGGAAAAAGTCTCACCGATTAGGAATTCCAGTCGTAACACTGTTTCAACTGTTGGGGCCGACGCCATTTCTGACACATGCTGCTCCTTTTCTTTTATAGAGGCACAAGAGTTTATTGTGACACTTGATACATCCCGGCTCTCATCTTACCTAACCAAATCTTTCGGGTAAACTGCGTTCCTTTTCTGTTGGCGCCGCAGTGGTGGAAAAAGTCTCACCGATTAGGAATTCCAGTCGTAACATTGCTTCAACTGTTGGGGCTCGACACCATTTCTGACACATGCTGCTCCTTTTCTTTTATAGAGGCACAAGAGTTTATTGTGACACTTGATACATCCCGGCTCTTGTCGTCAACCCAACTGGGATCTACCTCGCCAGTTTGTACGTATCTCTCTTACAAAGAGCAAAGTCATCTCTGATGAGATCTACAGAGTTTCCAGCTGTCCGCCACCTGACCCCCTTTTATGACAGGCTGTAACTTTACTTGCCTCCACTGTACTGGGTTATTGGACTGCTGAGATAACAACTGTGGCTGTTGGCACGCCGTCGTTTTTATAACAACGAGATCCAATTGTACACATTAGTTCCAGCCCACTCTTTAAAAGTGTCATAACTGATCAGCAAATGAAGATTCTGTGTCCTTGTTTGTTTTATGTTCACGTTGACTCATTCTAGAATCACGATAAACGCTCACTTTTGCTGTCTGTACGCGGAACCTCACTCATCCCAACAACAGCCCGTGGTATTATATCAGAGTTTGTGATCAGCACCTGTTGTGAGAAACAAAACGAATCCAATGCAAAATTGCCAAAATCTCTCTCTTCACAACTGATACAGAATCTTTTCTGGAGACTAATAACAAATAAAATGTTGAAGGGGCAATGGCTGGATTTAGGACACAGAAAGCACCAACATTAAAACTCAGTCACTCCCAAAGACGTTTTTAAACGTCTTTTCAGACTTGGTGTAGAATTGGCTGGTACTGAATGAGTTCAGGGTGGCTGCTTATTTCCAAATAAATGCTGAACCTCTAAAGTCCAACACGATCAGTTCCAGAATGTTGGTCAACCTCCATTTTGTTTGAATTTAGAACCAATTTTCCTTCAAAGTGAAGAATGAAGATTGAATGAAGAAGTGAACTACGGTCTAACGCAAGGACGGGCAACTTAAATGCTCGAACGGGGGCCTCAATTATTCGTCATTTCTACTGGGAGCTCACGTAGCACCCTGCACTTCCTAACCAGAACTTTGACAAACACGTCATCCCAAATTTGGACAAAATACGTGCAAACGTTCCAAATAGATGCTCTTCGTATATTTCCGTTCAATGTTTACTAAGGTAGCGCTAACAATATGGTTAGATTTGTTCTATGACGACTGGCGTTGCTTTCGAATTGATATGCTTAACAATGAATGAGCAGGGCTTTAGTGCCCTTTAAGAAAAGGGCAGTCAGCGATTGATTGATATGTTTTTCCTGCTGCGAGAGCCAGCATCTTGTTAAGACCCGAGACCAACTCTTATACACACATCCACACACACTAATGCACACCAGGTTGCCTGTCCCCTTCTCAACCTCAACCCCCTCGCAGTCAGAGGCCAGACAGGGTCAAGCTGAGGGCGAGACATTTATGAGGTGTAGATATTTCTGGAAGAAAGTATTCCTCCCGTTGGCATTCGGCAACGCAGTCTGTGTGCTGAGCAAGCTGATCCAGAGAGGAGGTACTTTTGCTATATAAAAAATAAAATAAAATACAAGGCGTGTTACGATAGGTAACAGTTAAAGTGACCTCGGCTTTCCCATGAACATTCGTCGGGCGGTTTGCTTCCCTTACGACCCACATTTTCCAAATTAGATTGCAGACTCTATTCCTGGCTTGACTGTGTATCTCAAAGCACAGGAGGGGTAATGGGGCAAGACCTTTTCCAAACAAAGAAATTTAACCTCATCATACTCGCACCGCCACTTTTCACCCCCTGTCCTCATCTCCCCTCCTGCCCGCACGCTGCTCAGGCAGCAGAGGGGCACGACACGCACATGGGGCAGCGGCCATAGTCAACACAAAAAGGTTGTGGTAGCAAACAGTCCTGTTTGTGTTCACTGGGCTGTTGTTGGAGATGACTGATGTATCCATTAACCTCTGGTGAGGGCGTTTGGTGGTGGGGGGGTTGGCGATGTTGCTCCACGCAGGGCGAAAACACCCGCAGAGAACGCCATTGACCCATATTGTTTCTCCTTCGGGCCCTGTTAGCAGTTCATTCACTCTGTGAACAGAGATAAGCGTTGACAAGGCTGATGGGGATGGATGCAAATGTGGATGTGGAAATTCTAACGCTTGTCCAAATTTCAGTTTGACCAAATGTCAAATATACAAATTTGGGACATTGAACTGTCGTACTCAGTGTATCACACGAAGGATCAGTGCACCGCAGTATCAAAGTATCGTTATTAAAGCATGAGTGTGTTTTTTTTGTGTGTGTGTGTGTGTGGGGGGGGGGGGACTTTTACCATTTAAAGATGGACTTCAGAGAACATCCACCGGAAGTTAGCATCAAGTATCTCCCATTGAGAGCAGAAAACAGCAACTGCTTCAGTGTTGATAGAGGGAGACAGTGTGGGTTTATTATTGCTCCCAATGTGAAACGTTTAGAAATCAACAATTCAGCACCCAACTCTTAACATGACTCTGTGGTTCCTCCCTCTGTATCAAAAAGATAAATAGACATTTTTATCCCGTATCTTATGCTTCACCCGTGTCCACTGCCCTGTGTTTAAAACTACACATTTTTTTTGACTAAATGCATTTTTTTGACATTCTGATGAAAATGTAAAATATATATATTTGCGATCATGTCCTTAAAAATGCATACAAAGGATCGCTACCTTTTGCCATAGCCTCGCATTCTTTTTGAATCTTGGCATGTGTACGCTCTAGCCCTGAATGACGAGAATGCGCATCAACTGTATCTCTGAATCAGTCGGCATCATATTTACAGAGCTTGGCAGTTAAAGCCAGAAGGCTCTATCTGATGCTGTGACAGATCTGTCTATTTACCGTGGAACTCCACCGCTCGGGCAAACTTAGCTCGGCCCCAGACACTTACACAGAAAGACATAGCACGACAAATAAAATTTGGCAGGCGAAGGTCTTTGCGTCTGATCAGTGTTCTCCAAGTGAATCCGAGCAACCTCAAACTGTTCAGTGTTGTAGTTGTACGCGCGGTGGGTAAGATAAGTCGACGAGAGCACAACCAAAATAATAGACGTCATTCACAGATGTTTGTGGACGAGAACAATCCAGTGTTTTTATTTCGTTTCACTGTTTGGCCTCTAGAAGACCACTTTTATTTAAGAAATGCAAAATGCGACATCACACCGACTTGGAAAAACAGTGTCACATTCTCATAAAGCGCTCTTTGCGTTCAACAAACAGCAACGTTGACATGAAAATAAATAGTGTTGGCGAACAAAAATCCACCTTTGGGAATACAAGAGTCAGGATTGCATATAAAACAAGACTAATGTAGACCAAAGGTACTTGGCACAAATTAAATAAACGTAATTTTCAGATTGAATGAACTTAGTCCATTGCTTTGTGAATCTGATTGTCCTTCACAGTTAGTATCGAGTATGTGCATGTACTGTACAAAATAGACATGATATTCAAACTGAAATAACATTTTTGAATGCTCAGTCTCATATTTTGTCAGTACCTGGACGTTCATGCTCATGCTCCCTGTTTGGCTTTTTGATGTTTTCTTTTTGTTTGTTTGTTTTTTTTATTTTTTTATTTTCACGAGATAAAACCGCGGGTACATGTGCAAGAGTTTTTTTTTCTTTTTCACGAGATAAAACCGCGGGTACATGTGCAAGAAGCCATTGTCACGATGCAGAGCCAATACACACAGTGGAGGAGTATTGTAGAAGATATCAGTGATTTCTGATTCAAATTCAATACAGGTGCTTTACACATGATAAATTCAAATAAAGATACTAAAGCCACTTTGGTATGTTTTTAGGATGTAGCACATTAAATTACATTGTTAGAAGACCCAGTCTTGTTCTAAATTCATTTGCGTGGACATGATTAGTGATGACACAAATGTCATTCATATCTTAAATTATTACGTATGATTGCAGTCCGCTGGGATCTGCCTGAAAAACCAGTTGAGGGTAACATAAATAAAAAAATGATAGGTTAAGAAAAATTAAGAACAGTTAAAAAAACAGAACATTTACAAAAAAAGCCACTTGACCTTTTTTTTTTTTTTTTTTTTAAACAGGACGACTGCAAATCTCTCCGAGAGCGAGTCTTGCCCTGTTGTACACCAAATCCTTCAATCTTTGTGCTCTGTCTGTTTCGGTCTCAGCAGGGCATACGCAGTGCAACAATAACATCTTCAATCATGAGTTCTCAAAGCAAAAGGAAAGAAAGGAGGAAAAAAAACCCAACAACAATCTATACACATATAAAAATAAATCAATTGCAAACATGGAAAGATAATCTCATATATACAATATAATCCTGTATAAAATAGTTTTTATGTACATATCGACAACGGGCAACAATACAATATTCCATCTGTACAATCTGTACACCTGAACAATGAAGACAGGTGAGAGGTACTGAAGTGTATGGCTTGGTTTGGATCAGTTTCAAAATATTTACAGACATCAACTTCACACATTTTTAATTTCCCTGGAATGACGAGGCTTTGGGAGAGTCCTAAGTCTCGCTTTCACTTGTTCGTTCTTAATCTAATTGGTCCTTCGAGACCAGTATGGTCTTTGTGGTACTTTGCCCAGCTCTGTTTTGGTGACTCATGATAGAAGCTGGGCCTATGGAACCATTAGACCAATGGAACACCAGTTATTAATGGCTGTGATGCACAAAAAGACCCAGAGTTCAGCCATTCCACTCAAATGGTCCAAGTTTTCAAAGTCTCCTCCTCTTCCACGTAGGTTTAGACATCAATGGTCTCCAGTGTGTAGTCCCAGACAGCCGTAAACCAAGCAACACGTCACTTTACAACCTGGGGGCGTCTTCTATGTAAAGTACTGGACTTTGATATTTCCGGCCGAGGAATTCTTCAGTAGTTTCCTCACAGAGGTGTTCAGCACAAGATTGAAACCCCTTCAGCAGTGACCAGCTGCCCAGTGGTGGGGTCATATGTCCCAGCCAGGTAATACAGGTCTGGCGAGGTACTGTTCGGCTTCGGATTGCGTGTCAGACTCTCATATTCTTCCTGACTCACTACCTGGCACTTATGAGAGATTGTCTGGACATCGTTTTCGTCCTCATGACATGACTGGTAGAGGGCATGCTGGATGGGGAAAGGGTTCAAGATCGGTTACATGAAAACCAAGACATTCAGGGAAAATACCTTATTTGAATGTTCAGTATGCTGGAATCGTCTGCTTACCGTGCCGTCTCGCTGTCGCTTTCCTTGCTTGGTCTCTTCAGGGTGGTAGAACCACTTAACCTTGACCACCATGCTTGATGTCCAAGACTCCCAGAAGTTCTCGATTTTACCAATGTATGGTAGGTTAGGACGTCCTGCTGAGAGGAACACGGCACAGTCTCCCACTTTCACTGCTTCTTTCCCTCTCACGATGGCTTTGTAGAAAAGCTTCTTGGCCTTACCTTTTAGGCCTCGCCTCTGTGGAAATGCAGGTATTTCAACAATCTTTCTTTACAATGACTATGTACTTTTTTCACATCCCCCTAAAATGACTGCGACTGGAAATGATCATATTCTCACCTGTGTAGGGCTGCCAGACCACCTCCACATCTGGCGGCCCACAAGGAATGCAGACATCTTGGGCCTTGGAATACATGACATGTCATCTGGTAGCGTTCTCGGTTTCTTCACAAATTCTCTCGATGACTTAGAAATAGAACCGTTGCAGTCTTTCCTCTTAAGAGATTTACTGTTGGAGACGTGTTCATCAGGCGATCCTTTGGTATTGGAAACAGCCAACGCTTTAGCCACGAATGAATGTTGCCTTGAGGAAGTGGAGGGTTCACTGGGTTGCAGGAGTCCCCGGTGAGGAGACAAGCAGTTCTGTAGCATTAATGTCGAACTTTCCTCATCCTCTGAGCTGTAGGAAGAGTCATTGTCCGAGGAACACAGGCTGGAGCTCGATATTGAGCCTGATGAAGAGGAGCTGGATGAACCAGAAGAAGAGGATGAAACTGAGAGATGAGAGAGGAAATGCCCGGCTGTCCTCAGACCTTGTGAAGCTAACGCAAGTGCAGCCCTTTTCCTCTCCTGTTCTTCTTCCTCTTCATCATCCATATCAGAGTAGGAGCTATGACACTCTCTGTGCGAACTGAAGCCCACGTCTCCATATTCACCAAGATGCAATGATGGGGACGGCTTTCTTTGCGGTGTCGTTCCTTTCAGGAGGAGTTCGACCCTAGAGTTGTCACCCTTTTTGTTGTCTTTAACAAGGAGGACCGGATGTGAGTAACCCTCCGTCTTGGGCATTGCACTCACACCGGAAGAGCCACCTCGCAGCAACAGAGCCTTGCTGTTCTTGGTCTTTGGGGAAGTTACTCCTTCGTGATCTAACTTGACCAGAAACTCTTGTTCAGACTTCTTTCCCTTAGAAAGTACCAACTCATCTTGTCTGCGTTTCTGCCCATAAACCCCACTTTTCGGACCGACAGATAAATCTGGACGTGATCCTGTGGGCTTGGTACAGAAGGAGGAGTAGCCATTTGCTATGCTACTGAAGGAGTCCACCTCAAAGGAGCTACTGCTGAAAAGCCCTTTGGATTGGGTGGAGACAAGCGGTTGGATCTGAGTCGAGGCAAATGAATCATCCTCCCTCAATCTCAAGGCCTTTCTCGGTGTCCCATTAAACTGAAATAGATTATGGGATGTCCTCTTCCTGCAGCCGGTCAATGAAGGCCATTCCACAAAAAGAGAAGCATTTTTACTGGCATTTTCAGCCAGCTGTTGTTGCTTTTGCTTTTTCCCAGATCCCTTTGGTCTCCCTAGGATGAAAAAAAAAAACAAAATTGAAGTATTACTGTATAATGTGTACACTGACCGGGTTGTAGGTATCTGCTATGCAATTTTCTGTTGGCATTATCTAAGTTTCCTTGAAGATTTGGACTAATATTGTGTTTTAGAAACAGGATGAAAAAAAGAAAATCTTACCCGGTCTTCTTTTTTGGAGGGTTAGCGGTTGTTTGCTTTTGACCATACTAACAGTGTTGAGTCTGTCACTGGATACATAATTGAAACTGGGGCTTTTCTTGGCCTGACTTCCACTAGGTACATACACAGCAGGAGGTGTCTCCTCACCTTAGAAATGATATATTTAATTAAATTTTTCGTATTTCTTTACAGATAAACATCATGTACAGGAGCATCGCAAGGAAACACCCACAATGTATTTGATATCCCGGTGGCAGAAGGCGGATGTTTGGCACTGATATCTTCCCTCGGTCTCCGTCATCAAACTCTACCATTACTCCTGGCTTTGCCTCTTCGGTTGAAATCCCTGCGAGAGACAAACGTGCAATTCACCAGAGAGTGAAGAATTGAGATCCACAGGATACAAATGGGGGTTGATGTCTTACCTCTGCGAACATAGCCTGGGTACAAGCAGCGTGAGCGTTCACTCCAATAAGCGCACACCCTGGTTCCATCATTTAGCATGGCCTCTGACTCTGGGCGTACATCGAGAACCTGACATCCAGACCAAAATGCTATTAGGGTTTATAACAAGCTACGCAAAAGATCAAACACACGTGTTGAAGCAGTTTGCGTGAACTGCAACCAAGTTCATGCGCATCCATCGTGCTGCAATTCTAAGCACTGCTGACTGCATGTCATGCCAATGTGCCAGTCAGCGCTGAAAGGAACGGAAGCCTGGATGTAGTAAACCCTGACTTGCTGAGTAATACCAAAGAAGGCCTGAATAGAGAGCTTGTGATTGCTGGTTGCCAGATCCTCCTTCCAACAATGCAGGCAGCCCTAACATCCGCCTCTCACTGGGGGCTCTTTCAGGTTGCTTTCATTTACTGTTGCCATGACGAGAGACCCTTTTGGAAGATGAGGCGTGGATGTGGGTGTGAGCGTGTGTGCGAGAAGGAGCTCGGTGAAAATTGTGGATGATCTCTCTTAAGATCCAACCAAGGATCTTATAGTTAAGTTATCATGGCCACTGGGACGAGAAGAACGTCCAGTCTATGGGCCTATTGTTCCTCACCCCTCTCCATATTCATTTGGCGAAGGACAAAGCAAGTAAACCAAGGAACACAATTATTTACAGGCTGAAGGTGAAGCAATGAATGTTGTATATGAACTCACAGCTTCCCGAAGCAGTTGCTCCAATGAATAGATCTTTGCACGGTTTCCCCTCTCCCCATCAATCGTAACACTGAATCTGGAAAGAAACAACATATATGGATTATTTTTAACCAGTTGACTTGCCATTGCTGCTTTTCTTGATATGCTTAGCCTTTATAACTCAATGTTCAACTCAAACAGGCAAAAACCCACTGCTTGTGTAATTCCTTACATATCCGGGAAATCCATGGTGTGGATCCTGGCAGCATAAAGAAGCTCGTCTTCCTTTGAGACCAGTATCTTCAGTCCGTCCGTTAAGAGTTCTTTAGCCAAGACGCAATTCGGAACTGCCAATGATAACACAATCATCCCAATAAATATTTGAGCATCCATGAAAAACAGTTGTGAGATACGGTATGTAATTTAGTTTACCCTCAGGGTTCTTGTTGCATGAATCGCTGTTGTCATCCTCCTCCTCTTCCGAAAAGCTGCTACCATCCATCTGAAATCCCTCATCAGCCGCAAAGCTTTCCAGCAGCCGACTAACCGCTCGACCCTTTGCCTGTGGATCATTGAGTAAAAGATATCTGAAATCATTGAACGTTTAAAAAAAAAAAATGTGACCGTTCAAATTCTTCTTCTGTCATTGGTACCTGTTGCTCTTTGGCTCTTCTGCCCCTGCTGCTGTCCTCACTCTTTGACACCTGGACCCAGCTATTTCTCTGCTAATGGGACAAGATGAAGGTGAAAAATTAAGACTGCGCTGCAAATTCTGAACACATCTTTGTTACAAATGGAAGCAGTTTTTTTCTGTTTCAAAATTCCTGCCTAGATGAAAGTTTTTTTTTCATCAAACTGTGAGACAAACAATTTTTATGAACTCTTTTGAACGAAAAATTTCTTGTGGTATAATCATCATCATTCTTTTAAAATACGGTGTGCATTGCTGTTCAGGCAATAAGACAAAGATACTGAAAATATATGTCTCTCTTCAGTACAACACAAATTATTGCCTATAATATCGACCACCTCCCCAAACTTGCCCTACGTTACCTCTTTAAAAAAAAAATCACCTGATCTAAGAATGAGAACCTATCATGGCATTTGTGAAAACATTAACAAATCCATGCAGCCGAACTCTTAACCTCATTGCTAACTAGATTAGCATTAGTTCCAGACACCATCTGGGCTCAACATCATTAATATTTATCGTCAATGCAGTCTTCCAATACATTTGTTCAACAAACATGGTATTTTGGTTTGGCTTGCATTTTTTTCAAGGGCATCTTTATGGTTTAAAGTCCTTATGCGCGGAAATGTAATGAATCTACATTATTATCATGTGCATCTGTGAATAATTAGCTTGTGCTAACCTTGTTAATTGTTCCTCTCAAGACGGTACTCTTGCGTGTGGCCCTCTTTAACCTCTCGCTCGTTGTTGGAAAGGTAGGCAGCCCCATGCTACGTCGAAAACGGTTGCCCCTTTTGTTGTGGCTTCCCCACCGAGGCTCCTTGGACCTCGGTGTGCACGGTCTGGTCACCCCCTCTGTTTTGTGGTCCTCCTGACGAATTTTGACCGCACTGGCCGGGCTAAGTCTACTGGGGTTCTTCTTTCGTACTTTGACCTCTCCTTCTGCACCAGAGAGACTGTGAGAGCCTGTGCAGTTCAATTACAGAAACAGACACTGTTAACAAGCCATGACTAGAAACACAAAACAGATGCTTCTCGTGAAGATTTCTTATAAATCCGCCGTCGGCCTTACCATAAAGCTCCTGCCTCTGTTTTTTGTTCCTGGCTTTCTGATTGGCCTCTAGTTTTACAATGGACGAAGGACTTGGACCTGTCACAGAGGAGCTCGAAGTCACATCTCTGGGTGGTGGTGCTCGTAGGTCTTGACCTTCATCGCTATCTTGACTGCCTTCCTCCTCCTCCTCTCCTGATATTGAAAACAAAAATGCAGAGTGTGAATTCTTGGGTGAGAAAGTCTGATTATCTGGAAGGTCTCTCCAGTTTTTTCACAAACACTTCATTAGCATTCAACTAAATGTTGGAACTATTCGTTGAAATGATGTATTAAGTGCTTTGCCTTGATGGTATTTCCCGCTGTGAACCCACATGCAACAGAGCCGTAATACGACGGTGAGTGGGTGTGACTTTATGTGTGCATGTTTGTCACGTAGCTCCCCCTTGAGCCAGCCAGTCTCCCAGTCTCCAGAGCTGTCAAAGCCTCTCACAGGCAAGTGTCCACATCTGCACACGTACCACAGATCAGCCGACAAGGCGGATCACTCAGGTGTCAAAATGTCCGTGCGCGCCTTGTCTTCAACACAAGGTGTTCCTCACCTTTTCACCCACATCTGGTCGCCTTCAGAGTGATTTACAGATTTTGAGGCTCACTAGAGTAATGGCACTGCATGTCTTCCAAGCGTATACAATGCATTAGCATTCCTCGAGGTCTTTGGGTTTACAGTGGTACTTTAGAGTTCAACCTCCCCCACCCACCTGGCCGAAATTGGTGGCTGTTAGTTGCCTGTCACCTCTGATCAAGAGGTAGATATTAGCTGTGTTTGCTTGAATGTTTCACATTGCAGGATATCAGTTGTTCATTTCATTCCATAGTTGTCAGACAGGTCACGTTAAAAAAATAGACGTGCGTGTGGTGCATCTGCAAGCAAATCTAAACAGCAACTATAGTTTTGAATGATGGCTGCATATTCTCATCTTACCTTGTTCTGAGGAGTCACTCTCTGGATTTGAACTTTCTCCCAATGACTCGCGTCTTTGTCCACGGTGAACCCTCGCTGCGGTCTTGCTGTGATGAGTGGGATCGTGTGTCTCTTTCTTCGATCCACGGTGTACCTCCCCAGGCCAGCTCTCCTGGGGACCACTGTCCACACTTGCTGCTGAGAAAGTTGGACAACCCTTCTGAGATCGAGGTTCCCTCGGCCTTACAATTAGGTGTGGATGAAAGGATGTACCTGTGTCGCTGTGTCCCCCAGACTCTCGTCTGTTGCCCTGGCTTCTGTGTCCATGCTTTGAGTGGCACGGTGAAACCTCTTTGTCCCTGTAGCGCATCCCTGAGAGGGTCTTTTTACCCTGGCTCTTCTGTTTGAGCTGTGCCATGTCGGCGACCAGCTTAGAGCCCAATACACTTTGAGGACCACTTTTTTTGCCACCTTGCGCTTTTATCTGCTAGAGCAGAAGAGGGTAATGAGACCTTGGTAAAGCTACAGCAAAAACATCAGAGACTGTATAAAAGGTGAAAAGGAATATTAAGTGCCCAGGTGTAAAATGCATTAACATAAAGTCCTAAGGTTTTGGCTTTAATTAGAAACAGAGCTCAACAAAGTAATATGCAAATAATTTAGTGTGGCCTCTTTAATTTTGAGAAAGGAAAAGGATTAAAGCATGGTGGACAATGGCCTGACCTGTGTACTGTGTCCAAGTTGTTCAAAGACTCGACTGGACAGCCTCTTCTTTCTTCTCTGGCTGTCTCCTCCCCCTCCTAGTTCCTCAGGCGTCAGTGAATGTCCTGCCACCATCAGCCTGTCAGTCAAAACAAGGGGAGATGATTTCATTTGAGAAGGATGCCAGTGGTTTGAAAAAAAAAAAATAAGATGGGAGTGAGGACATCATATGGAAAAACAATTAAGTCACCACCCTGTGGGATTTAATAACGCTTCTCTCTCTGTACGAAGCATAGAGTAACATAAAAGTAGGATAGCCCCGCATCTGTGCAGTACTGTTGGAAAAAGTGGGCATCTGACAAGCACGCTAAGGTTGTTTGATGGGAGATTGGCACAAAACAGAATATGCAGCACGTAAACTAGCATTGACGGTTTGGGCAAGTGATTGGAAGTAATCACATTTATACATAGCACTATTGTCTTCAGTGAGAAAAAAAAAAAAAAAAAGATAGATCTTAAATTGCATTTTCATATTTGTCCTGGACACTTTCACCAGCACGAAGCAGCATTACCGATCAACCACTTCAAATGCCCTTGACTGGCCCTCCCGTAAGCCTGTCCATAGACCGCACTGAAAAGTTCCCGGCCATGCTCAAACAATAGATTAACCTCCGCTCTCCTATTGTGTGCACAGCCTGTGACATCCCTAACATTTACACAGTAGAAAAAGCTTGGATGCCAAAAGAAAAAAAAAACAACTATAATTTATATATATGCACTATACAATTCAGTTGCCACTAAAATCTTTGATGAAATCCATCCATCTAATTTCTGCACCGCTTATTCTGTGGGCTGGAGTCTAAAGGCAGACTACACCCTGGACCGGTTGCCAGTGAATCACAGGACCACTACAAAATGTGGATTGAGTGGCACTCAATCCTAAATGGCAATGGCTAATTGTAAATATCACACAATGCACTGTGTAGTCCATAACTGTTTCCATCACGCCACACAAGAATAATCATTTGTATCGTTGTGTTTTAGTGGATATTTGGGGTTGAGAATGACTCACATCCTTCATTCGCAGTGACCAGATGGGAGCATTAATAGCAAATGTTTTAAAAACGGCCACTTTGAGACGTGCAGTTATATATAAAATATATGGGTGAGTAAGCAGCCCTAGTACTGTATCTCATAATCGGAATGTGGCCTTCGCAATCCATAACGGAATACAATGAATGTGGTTGTTGTGTAGTGGGGACTGGCAATAGACTGACAGTACAGCGTAATTTGTCTGAAAGAATGATCCCACTGCAGACTACCCTCTGCCGCTAAACCTGACGCGATGAACGACTTAAACGTTGACTTTTCCCACTGTGATTAATTGATCAGCTGATCTGAAAAGCATTACAACAATACTCACAAAGGACACCAGTTCGAGCTTCGGCCTCGATCCCTGTACTTGATTTACCCCATTGCCCTCAGTTATGGTAGCCAAACATCAAATCAGGCTATGACTCATCCAAGAACACAACAGTGAGCAACTACGCTGCGCTACAGCTTGCAAAACACCCGACAACCCCATGGCATGTTCAGTTGTGGCCACCCTCCCTCCACTGCACCCTGCTGCAGGGCCTTGGCCCTGTTACCCTTTCACTTTGGCGTCACTGTCACCCAGCATCAGCGTTCCCCTTCCCCTCATGTCCGCACTGGCCTGGTGAGGGGGCAGGGGGCACACGTTTGAAAGAAGAGTGGAGGTGACATTGCAGAAGAGCAGCTCAGGGCGTTGCTGTTGCCCAGAAACCACAAGAAGAAGCCTGAAACAAGTAACTGAAGCCTGACAATATTTTTTTTCCCCAATATTTTTGCCGTAACGGGAACTACACTACTTAGGTCTCACGTTACCAAAAATGAAATAGTCACACATTGAGTCAAAGTAGAGACCCTTTCCTCATATTGAATATTTTTTTATGTTGGAGGTGTTGAAATTGAACTCAAATTGCCCTGCCCATTTGCGTATTAAAACTTTGAGAGCTGAGCACCAACACGACATGACCGTCATGTTATCCTCCAGGACCCACGTTGACCCTTTGGGCCCGTATGACAGTGAGGTGCCACATTCCTCGTGCAGTTCAAGAATACCAGGGAATTCATTGTACTCTATCAGCCCTTCCACCCCAACCTTAACCCGAACCCAACCGAGCATTACAAACACTCCAATAATGCCACGCAGGTTGAAACCTAATGATTAGAATTTGCAAGTATGTCCGAACATAAGTATTCTGCAAATAGCCATAAGCACAGCTAACGCAGGTATGCTGTTAAATAATTAACACCACCGTTAGGAACTAAGTGTATTTTCTTGAATGGTTCGTTTGACTTCTCCCTTATCCATGTTTAATGCCAGTGAAATGTATGCAGTCAGAGAGATGGTCAGACATGTACATACTTGACTTTTCTTTGGCCCTCAGACGAGACTGAGCTTGTTGCAAGGATGGGTTTCTTCTTCCTGGGTCGTCCCGGTCCTCTTCGTGCTGGGCTACGTGGCGTTTCCTCTTTTCTGTTTGAATGCACATCGAAAGAATGATGATGTCTGTATTTAAAAAAATGTGTATAAATGTTCAGAAAGGCGGCTCAGACTCACTGGTGATCGTGTTTCCTTTGTAGTTTAGCCAGCTCCCTTTGCTTTTCTTTGTAGTGTCGTTGAAGCTCGGCCAACTTGACACGCATCTCAAGCTCAGGACCGTCCATCGTTTCCACGCTGCCTTTAGCTTGGCACACCTGGAAAGTGTCCATTGTCTCTTTTCACATTCATGTCTATTTTTGCGAATGAAACCCCAAATAAGAGCTTTGGGGGCCAAATAAAAAAATGCATTGTTACCGGTTCATTGCGTGGTGTCCAGCTGCATTTCCTCCGCAAGTTGAAGGTCCTGCGGGCTGGGAATTGTCGGCCTGAACATGTAGTGTTGTCCGCTTGTGAACTCATCTCCAGTGATCGGGCTGTCGCCAGAGTTGCGAGGCTATGGAGGTCAAACATCAGCAACTCCTCCGCTAGGGAAGAAAAAGATAAGGTTGAGGCTCCGCATTGAGACAGAAACCTCAGAAACCATTTAGAGATCCTGCAAAATTACAATATCAGAAGAACTGGCATTTATCTGCCTTTTACACAGAATCCAGCGCTTCCACCATTTGTGTTTTACATCACACCCAGCAAAGGCAGCCTATTGCCGCAGCTTTGCGCTTTCACACAGCAATATAACATCCCGCAGTGAGACTACAGATGCCGGGCAATGCGATGTGACATAAAATATTTGTCATAGTGACAAGAGGGCAGGAGAAAATTATTCACAGGATGCGTGGCTGGCCGTGTGGACCGAGCTTTAAGCAAGGAGAGAAGAAGCATGAGCTGATTCTCTTTCGGCTCGTATAAAATTTTAAAGACTGTCAAATTGTTTTCGCTCATGTTGTGTTTCGATCGGCTTGCTGTGACTTTGAAAGCTGTCAACGGCGCTCGCTTCACTGACTCCAGAATCAGTGGATGAAGCCTTTTTTAAAAAATTATTTTGTTTTTGTTTTGTTTTTTTGTAAAAGCCCCATTTGGGAGCTGTTTAATGCATTATGATGCTGTGGTAAACACAAAACATCCTTTGCTTGAATTATATAAAAACACATGGCACATTAGAAAACAAGGAAGCTTTTAAAAGGCACTTTCAAACAATGAGTTCTAATTTAGCAAGGCAATGCTCCAGGGTGCTGAAAACATTGACTGCTTTTGTGATTACACATTAGGTAGTGTTGTCGAAGTGGTGGAACAATCATTGAGTTTCTTTTACTGTATAACGTGTGTACTGTATCCGGTGTGCATGATACAATAGCAATCCGTTCAGTCTTCATTCATTTACTTTGATGCCTTGTGGGGACAAACGAGTAAGTTCACGTGATGCGTTTTGTGTGAGGATTTAAGATGTTCAGGTCAGGAATAGGGGCGATGGTTGTATGTCAGGAAATAAATGGAAATTAAAAGTAATGTCACTGCTTTGTGACTGAAACTTACGCAAGGGCACGTGTAACTCAAATAACATCTTTCCTCAAGGAAAAATGTGGGAAAGAAAGGTGAGCACCCCGTCTTACAATGTTCAACCCTGTCCTACTACTTTCTTCTCTCTCCCTCTAGAGGCTTTTGCATCGTAAGAGCAGCCTTTTAGGAAATAAAACTGCCTTTTAGCGCACCAAAGAAAGGAACAGCAAGCAGGCATGCAGAGGACTTCCCTAGGGAGATTTCACCAGAGGCTCTAGAGAAGGAGAAGAGAGACGAATCTAGGAGGGAGCGGAGAGCAACTGAGGCTACCCCTGAGGGGGAAGTGGGAGGTGGTCTCGTTGGGAAAAGAGGAGTCGACTGGTTGGAGTGTGTTAATGGTGACAAGAAAAATGCTTTCCTTACCTTGGCTTTCCCCACTGCTGTGCCTTTTCTGTTGTAGCTCCAGGTCAGCCACCTCACTTAGAAGCTCCATTCCCTGGCATGGGTTAGTCTGAGATGGGGTGACTGACGGAGCGCTGAAAGGGAGCAAGGGAAACGGGGGTACGTCTGTGCAGAAAGCTGCAGCGATGAGCAGCTCAAGGCTCCAGTAGCAGGGCACAAGAGGTTTTGGGGATTCAGCAGCAGTTGTCTGGCTTGGGCTGTGGGCGGACACCGCAGCAGGGGAAAGACATGCCATTTCCATTGAGGAGATGTCAGCGGCCATCTTGTTCCCCTGCTGCTGCTTGCTGTCGTTTAGTTGCGTGGATGCGCATTGCTCCTCAAGGGCTACCGGAGGTGTAGGGTTAAGCTCCACGATGGTGCCCAGGACTGGCTTCTGCTCTTCTGACATAGCATGCTCCACCTGGCTTTCCTCACCCAGGGGCTCATCATCATCATCCTCCAAGGTGATGACAGTCTGTGACCTTTCAGGTTCATCCATGCCCAGGGGCAATGGACAGGAAGCAGCCTCGCACACTGGGCTGTCAGCAGGGGGGCAGACAAGCACCTCTTCCTCGGCGGCCCCCTGCGTCTCCACCTCATTCTCCCTTGATGCATAGTTAGCTACTGTAACCGCTGCTGCCTCCACCTCCTCCCTTTGGTCCAGGACTCCCTTGTTGACGCTCCCCTCATCACCCTGCTCCACTTCCTTTGGTGCCAGTGGCTCTGGGAGAGGCCTGATCACCGCTTGGCAGTCCATCCCTTCCCCGAGGCTTGAGAGAGGCTGGGGGGCATGCTCACAGGGCTCAGATTGGATCGCTTCCAGTTCGGCTGGTTCTGCAAGCTGAATATCCTGGGGAGAAGGCCCGTTTCTGTAGCCTATCGTAACAGCAGAGTATGTGTATCCAGGAGGCAAGTCTTGTGGGAGAAAGAGATTTCAATTACTTCAGTTACTTCCACAAGAAGGTTATGATCTCATCAGTTTGTTTGTCAGTTTACAGGATGATGCCAAAACTAAATAATCCACAAAACCTTAAGGAGCAGTACTGCGTGAACCAAGCAAAAGCCTTTTACATTTCAGTCTGGATCTGAACACATTACGGAATTCATTCCCACTTTTGTTAAAATTGTAAAAGAGGATGCGTGTTGGCATTTCTGAAGGTGATCCAAATTGCAATTACTTGGCCTTGACGGAGGTTTGCACTCTCCTGAAGCACACTTTGGCAACCGATAAACGGAAAGTAATATAAAGTATCTGTCTTAATATGATTTACCGCAGCTGTAATGTGATGAAAAAATAAGCCTCACAAGTACTTAAATTCAAACTTAAAAAAGACAATGCCTGTATTGCCTCAAATACCGCATGCACTAATGAATTAAGTTGAAACTCCTTTTGACACTTCAAAATATTTCCATTGTAATGATTGTGCTTACGCTTACCCGGCTCCAAAGATTCTGGGTAATCTTGCAGGGGCTGGCCCTCCCCTCGCTTATCCTGGGGGTCAGCCCCCTTGGGCATCTGGGACGTGGCTGTACTAATGGTAGGAGATTGAGGGGTTGTAACAGCTGGGCTGGGAACAGGGCATGGTGTGGAGGGAGTGCTTTTGGGATGTGGGCGCATTGAAGGGGACTGGCAACAAGGGGACAAGTGAGCAGTGCAGGCTCCAGGGGGCGAGGTGTTCCTTTGAGCGGGGTTGTAAGAGTAGGGCTTGGATGGTTTTGATGTCCTTGGTTTTGGAATGAGTTCCTCCAGGTCAACAGTGGATTCATCTGCCCTTTTCTGCATCTATTAGGGTTAAGACGAGGCATTATAAAAGACTCAAACTCACCATTATAGAATACTTGATAAACGACCATAGCTGCATACAAAGTGCTGTACATAAAGTAAAACATTTTCTGACAATTGGGCTTTCGGTGGGTTAGATTAATTCTTGTCAATTCAACACATCGATTTCCAGTCACCTGTGCAATGTGGGGGGCGTGATGTTTCGGGCTTTCAGTGGGTTAGATTAATTCTTGTCAATTCAATTTCCAGTCACCTGTGCAATGTGGGGGGCGTGATGTTGCATATCCATGCCGTGAACACCTTTGTGCTGTTGCTGCTGCTGCTGCGGTTGCGGTGGATGAGGCTGCGCATGCGTTTGCGGCGACTGGTGGCTTTGGTGCTGATGCTGGAGCTGTTGATGCTGCTGGAGAGCGTACAGCTCCTGTTGCCGTAGAAACTGGGATCGAGAGTACACGGTGGGATGCTGCATGTGGGAGGCTGGGCCCCGGGCGCCATACACTGGGGGCCAAAGCCCTGGCTGTTCCATCACATCTAATGAGAGCAGGGGAATGACCAGACAAGAGCAACAATCAGTGTCCTGCCAACCAGGCAAACCATATTCACTCTGTACTCAGCTGCAGAAGGGAAAATAGTACTGTATGTCATCACCATATATATATATATATATATATATATATATATATATATATATATATATATATATATATATATATATATATATATATATATATATATATATATATATATATATATATATATATATATATATATATATATATATATATATATATATATATATATATATATATATATATATATATATATATATATATATATATATATATATATATATATATATATATATATATATATATATATATATATATATATATATATATATATATATATATATATATATATATATATATATATATATATATATATATATATATATATATATATATATATATATATATATATATATATATATATATATATATATATATATATATATATATATATATATATATATATATATATATATATATATATATATATATATATATATATATATATATATATATATATATATATATATATATATATATATATATATATATATATATATATATATATATATATATATATATATATATATATATATATATATATATATAAAATCAAAGCAGACTGTTTCAAGATGGAATGAAGGTCAAAATGCACGTGTGTGTGTGTGTGTGGTATGTTGCTGAGTCAGCAAGAGATGAAAGAAAAGGTCTATTTTTCTATGAGCTTGGTAGGCCTCTTGAGGACATACCGAGGTGGTGGGGTGCAGGATGGGCAGGGGCATCCGTGGGCAGGACCACCAACTGGGCAGAGGGATCCTGAGGCAGAGGCAGGACCGTTTGGAGAGGGCCTGGCATGGCTGTGGAGAAACCAGGGGGAAGATTCTGGTGCAGGGCTGTATGACCTATACCTGCTTTAAATAGAGGATGGTCATTCTGTATCAAATCAATCCCCGGTTCCTGAAATGAACTCAACAATAGGCTGGGAGTTTACCATAAGAGTGTCCTGTCATCCAAAGGGATGGGCTTCCAGTTCTTGGCATCCAATGGTGGTGAGCAGAATGTGCAGCAGGGTCTGCTAATTGGCCTGATTGGAGGGAAGTCCCGCCTGGGACCATAAGATGAGAAGTGAGGTCCCCGTGACAGCTGTTGGAGGGATGAATCCTTGAAAACTCCACCCTTTCCTTATTATCTCTGCATTTGGGATATCAGAGAAAGGCAAACATAGGGGATCGCAAATCATAGAGCAATCCACAATCTGTAAAATAAATGACTTAAAGTGGTTTACCTGATATATACATCCCGATCTCTGTCCAAACATGTTAGCCCTATCTGTTCCCCACTCATCATTTTCCTCTCCTCTTCAGTAGTTGGATCTGAGGGATACATGGTGTGAGCTGGTCCTGTGAGACAAACATTACCTTAGAATTAACTACCTCTGTTCAGCCTCGTGTGTCAAGGAACGCACAAATTCCCTGGTGCCTCCCCTTTTCTCAAAACACAAACTTAACCCACCGGAGACTTGGCACGCTTATACTTCAACTCAAGACTATTCCAGCCACTCAGCAGCAGGGGGAGTTGTGCCCAGCGTGATGCTATCGTTGGACTGCAATTTAGATGTGAATTAAATTTTATATTTTCTTTCCAGCTATTCCACTTGCTTTTCTTTCATTTAAAACGATTGGCTTTGTCTGTACATGCGCCTTACGTAAATGATGTCAGTATAAACGGTTGTAGCTTGAAATGTAGATTCCATATGAGCTATTTGGAAGACAAATGTCTGAATCAAGTTGTTAGTCCACCACCTCAATGGGAGAAAATCATTTACAAACCTCATAAAATCATGAAACCTATTCCAACTTAAAGGTACTAATGGAGCGGACTACCGTAGATGCAGGCGAGTGAGTGAAGTGGAACTGAATTTTTTAAAAATGCAGTTCTAATAATTAAGGAGTTGACATTTGACAGTACCTTTCACGGTGGGATGCACCCTGCCATGTCTGCTGCTGGAATGACCGTCTGATGAACGACACGAAGGTTCCCTTTGTCTTGCCACAGCTACTGCAATTCCAACCGGCGGTTGCCGCACCTCGCCTTCTCCGTGGCCAGCTTCCCCGATATCCCGATGTCGTCCACTGTAATCAGGACGCTCATTGTCATTGACTGGGCCTTTCCTTGATGGTAGAGTCTGTTTGTTAATCTGAAGGGCACAGCTTCCCCCAGCTGGCCCTGATTTCAGGCTTCCAAGACCGCCAAAGGGGGTCTTCTGAGAGAGGAGCTGTGGTTGTTGCTGGTTGCTATACTTAAGTAAGCTTTTCATGGCACTGCTCTCTCCCCGAGTTGAGCCTTGGGGCTCAGGTTGTTGCTGTGGCTGCTGCTGTTGCTGACTGACTGGAGGTGCAGGGGTTGGCTGAGGAGGCTGATTCATTCTCTGCTGCTGTTGCTGTGAATGTTGCATAGTACTGCTTCCTAACTCCATGTAGGACTTTCTCTGTTCCTCCTCATTGTGTGGCATGTGGTGAGTGGGTCTCATGGACCATTGTGGCACAGTGGGCTGCTGGTGGTGCTGCTGCCCGCTGTTGCCGCCGTAACCGTAAGCCGACATGTCCATTTTTCGTTTCATCTCCTGAACCATCCCTTGGTTGAGGTCACCCGAAGTGGGAGCATCCGGGCCAGGTCGTCCATGCTGCTGGTGGCGAATCCTGGCTACTTTTTGGCCATCTCTCTGTAAGGAGCAGCTGCCACCAGAGGCGCTATGCTGACTCATGTTTTTGTTTCCAAGTGGAGAGGAATTTGGTGGCGGTCCTGGATGGGAACAGTCTCTGTATGGTGAAGTGTTGACAGAATGCGGGACAGGGTGTCCAGTCTTGGGTCCCTGGGGCAATGAGGATCTGAACATTTCCATGTCAACAGCACTGTTAACACACTCAACACTGCGTGAACGTCCAACCTGGTGCTGCTTCTGGGGTTGCGGAGGTTGTTGCTGTGGTTGTTGTTGAATAGGCGGAGGAAGCTGAGAGGCTTGGAGATGGTGATGGTGAGACTGCATCCAGTCTGGAGCCTTCTCTGTCTTTCTGTATGCGTGCTGTTGCTGTTGTTGCTGCTGTTGTTGCTGTTGCTTTCTATGCCAACTACTGTGGTGTCCACCACCTGCATTTTTGTCCATGTTTTTGTCCTTGGTATTTCCGCCTCCACTGCCTACAATCTGGCAATCGGTATTCCCAAGTTGGAATGTCCCACCATGTTTCTCCCCTGCATCTGCCACAGATGGCACAAAGGTAGGCCCTGTGACTTTAGGTTCCCGCCCTGCATTTGTTTGCCCCCTGTCATGTGAGGCAGTGTTACCTAGTGCGGCAGGAGGGGGTGGACAGAAAAATTCCGGGTGGTGGTGAGCATGGTGGGAAGGATGTGGATGGTGCGGGTGACTCGGGTGAAGCTGAAGACAGTGGAAGCCTCCTGGGTGTGCATGTGTATGTGGGTGAGTGTGCGGGTGTGGATGGGAATGCACCCCTCCAGTCGAACCCAATTGTAAGGGAGGCGGTACAGGGTAAGACAAAGAGTGGTGGAGTGGTGCCTGGCCCCTTTCTAGGCAGTCTGAAGGTCGTTCACTAATCCGCATCTCCCCACTTATCCCTTCTTTGGTGCAGCGGCTATTCCCACTCGAGCTCATATGTCTGCCATGACTGTTCCCTCCACCTCCCATAGTTCCCAAGGGTGTGCCCTCCCCTCCACAGCTGGAAATGGACGTCTTTGGTCCAGCTACATTTCCAGTCTCTCCATTTTGCATCTTGCCATTGTGCAAGCAAGCGCTCAACGGCTTGCCCATAATTTGTGGGTCCTTGCTGTATTCCATTGGGAGTGACGCCTTATGCCTCTCCAGGGCCCGGCTGTTGACCTCCTCCAGAGGCAGCGGATGTTGGGGATAGTGCGGGTGCTGCTGATGGGCGTGGGAATGGTGGTGATGGTGGTGTGTGGGTAGGGCAGACTGGTGGCTGTGTTGCTGTGGCTGCTGCTGCTGTTGGTGTTGCTGTTGCTGTCTTTCCTTTGCCTCCTGTTTGCTATTCGACCTCTCCTTGTCTTTGACAGGTCCCACTCCCCTCTCCACAGTTCCCTCTTTAAGACTCTTAAGCAGACTCGCGCCGCCACCTGGATCTCTTTCTCTGCTGCAAGGCCCCTGGGAGAGTCCCGAGCCTGCCCTGGACATCGGTGGCAGACTGTGATTAGCTGAGATGAGAGGTGGCTGTGATGGTAGACCTCGAATGTAGAAGTTCTCTGTGACCGAGAGCAAGATGGCAAAGACAAATCAAATAAGAAAGAGATTTCGTAGAATTACATGATTCGTATCACTGAACATGTCCCTGGGCATTCCTTTATAAATACCCATGTCAGATGCAGTACAATGTACTGTAGATTCAGTTTACTTATTACGTCTGCGTGATTAAATCCTAATCATCTGCGCCTCACCTTTTTGAGTGTCATAGAAACGGTGTTGGCCATAGAGAACTCCGCCGTTGGCATGGTGATCCAAGTGGCTCATAGGAAGAAAAGTGTGTGCCAGACTCCCTGAGAATCGAGGATACCCTGCAGCGGCTGAAATAGATAGCACGGCAAGGAGTGTAGATAGCAGATAAGACAGGGCACTGAGCGCCATAATGCAGTTATCCGCACAAACTCTACATAATCCTCCAGGTCCCATGCAGCTGGTGGTGTTCATACGCAAATAAGGAGTGGCTCTTGCCTACCATGTTTGCCTTTCCCGCTTGAATTTAGATTGCAGACAATACACAAAAATCTCACGCTTGAGGATTGTGATATTTCTTCAACATATGGCTATTTGTCTTTCATTCTCCCAGGAATGTCCATGACACCTTTCTCCATCTGATTCACGTTCTGTTTGCCCCCATACTGACCTGTATCATCTTTCGGATCCTGTATAATATCAATGTGATGCTTGTATTGCTGTGCCCTTGAGAGACTTGAATCTACTAAAGTTCAATCAAAGGTAACTGCACTTTAAGATTGTTCCCTTTTTTAATCCAAAAGGGTTCTTCAGTTTGGAATTTCCACTGGGCCAGTACTGGTTGTGATTAAAAACAACCATTCACCAGACACTTCAGAACAAAGAAGTCTCTTGTGACCAACCTGATCTTCAACAATCAAGGGGAAGTCCAGTTAGCTATGGTTTAAGGTTTGGGAATTACCAAGAACTTGATGACTGGAAAATGCTCATAGATGGTGACCTGCCACAGTCTGTCAAAAATATGTTCTTGTATTCCCTACAACTTTGTTGATAAGAGGAAAGTGAAAACATGGATTGACGGTTAAGGTCATCACAATGTTAAGATATCGCAACATCCTCATCTTAAAATGCAACGCGCAGGTATATGGACGATGGAAGGAGCGGGAGTATGAGGAAGACTCGGGTGAACAGGGAGGGGAAACATGGTTGTTACAAGCTAAATGAAAGACAGATGTATTTGTGTTGGCAAGTGTGCGGCCTGATCCTGGAAAGCGCAGATGCAGTTCACTCGGCTTTGTGTGTGTGTGCGGCGGCATGCTTTCTTCAACACCCCCCCACCTCCCACCCACACCTTCTGCAGTGTTAGATGTCTCACTTTTAGCTCTTGGAACAATGGCGAAGGTGCTCGTGGTGGATTTGAAAAGGGAGAAGTGGCGTCGTGGGCTAAATGACCTCGTCTCCAAGCAGCCCCCGTGCCCTCCCATCCTAATTAATGAAATGCGCAGAGAGGGCAAACGGGCCTACAATAACACAGGAGGGGATGCTTTCCACAGAGGGCACAAGGGTGATAATTACACACTGTAGCCTCACTTTCCTTCACGTGTTTATTCTTTCCAACACTCTTACTCTTTCCCCCCGTCCCCATCCCCATTTGTCTCTTTCTCCATCTTCGTTGTCATGATTAATAAGCATATAAATTTATGCCAGTTCATCTACAGAGGAAGGAGGGGGAATCCTTTTGTTGAAGAGAGAAATACAGAGAGAGCTGTTTGGCGAGTCTTTATCCAAGCTGGGAGAGGGGCTTTTTGCAGTTTTTTTCTTTCTTTCTTTCTTTTTTTTTTTTTTTGGGAGAGTGAGTGTGAGAATTGAGTGAGTGTGACGATTGATGGCGTAATCCCTTTTCACAGCGTGGTCTGGCTGTGCCCGATAATGCCAGCCTGCTCAATTTCAGCATGCCCTCCACTGGGGCGGCAAGCGTGTGGGGAGGGGGGTCTGCCGGGCACGGCGTCGCTCATTCAGCCATTAATCTGACCAGGACAAGGGAAGATGCTGCTGCTGCTGCTGCTCTTGCTGCAGGCGACGCAAGAAGGGTGTTAGCGCTGTCTGCTGACTGCACAGCAGCTTCGCTTTCTTTCTCTCCCTCCACAATAAACAAGTCAGGAGCCACAGAGGGGATTTCGCTAAGCGTGCCCTCGTTTTCAACGGGCAGAGCAGGAGGCAGAACTAACAGAGCCCAGGGAGGGGATCTCCAGACGTTCCAAAGGTATTTCTCACAGCTTGGTGGCTTGAGAGAAACTGAATGACCAGGACAAAGAAGGGCACGGGGAAATGACAGCCAAATGCGGAGGAAAATTAGGGGCACGTATTTGTCCTTGCTGGCTTTTAACTTTGCATTTGTTTTTTACAAACGAAGGCCTCAATAATTGTCCAGCCTTAAAAAAATAGCACAAATTTTGCTTGTTGCATCGAAGGCAGCCAACAAGAAAACATGGTAACTATCTACGGTTTCATTTTAGTAGTTTCCATTCAGAAATTCTGCTTCAAGCCAGCTTTATAGACAGTGGTACCTCGACCAGTTTGAACTTTTTCAGATACAGGCCGTACGAGTGATCTTAAGGTGCTCCACAGCTCCCATTAAATGACAAACCATAGCAATGAATGCGCAGCTTCAGTCAATGGAAGTACATTTATAAACAATGTTAAAAACATTTGGCTTCCATACAGTTGAAGAAACAGTGGAACATAAAAGCTGATTGTTGATTATATGGTGGGATTGTAAAAGTTGACTGTCAATATACATTGGAACTATAAAAGCCGTTTGTTCATGTACAGTGGGACCATGACGGTTGAACACATTCTGCTCTTGGATCCTGGTCGACCTCTAATCGCTTCATATTACAAAATAATTTTACACACCAGGAAACAATAGAAATTGTTTTAGTCACCCTACTGTTAGTGCTTGAAGTAACTTTTTCAGCATTCTCAGCAGTCATACAATTGTGAAAATCAGTTTGTCTCATGCATATTTCATTGAGATTTTGGTCCACTGGGGCCTTTGAATTAAGAGTTTCAACTATTCTCTTCAAATTGTTTCTATTTACTTGTGCCGCTAACAACGCCGGAGATGCCTCAGGACATCGCTGCAACAATTGGGGGCGAGGAGGAGCGTGCCGGGTCGCCCGTCAGCTCGGCTAATTGAGAAAAAGTGACAGAAGCGTCAAGACACAGAAAAGGGAGGAGAGAAGATGCAAAATATTTGGTGGGGAGGGGCAGCACGGGCAGCACGGCGGTGCATCTCTCCAGGTCTGACTAATTGAAAGGAAGGGATGCAAACCAGCTCGCGAGAGTAGGGGGGGGATTAAAGAGGCAGGAAAGGAACAGAGGCGACTGGGGAGGAGAGGAGGGGGGGAGGCTGACATTTAATCCCACAAAAGCAGAAAGCAAGCTACTGCTCACAGACGGGAAAGATGGACAACTGAAGATAGGCTGAGAAAGACGAAAGTAATCCAAAATGGATTAGACAGGTGTGTGGAGGCAATGGAGCGCATATCTGCGAAAGAGTATGGCGCTCAGATTATTGCTAGCAAAAAAACGAAGAGGTCGTTTGGATGCAGTCCAGCTGGCAAGAAGCCTGCAAGGAACCCCGAATTTCGCCTTTGAATTGATTGTCAAACGGAATCTTTGAAAAGCACACGTTGTGCTTTCTGTGCCACACTCACCCGCCGCGTTTCTTCGAGACACCTTTTTACATTTGGACTTAAAAGAGCAAAAGAACGAAAACAAAGCAAAACGGCTTCCACGCTTGGATTAGGATGGAAAACGCGGTGAATAAATCATGACATCAGCCCTTTCAGCGTTTTCCGTACTGAAGGGAGGGGAAAAAAGAAACTGGTGGCAAACAAAAAGACTATCAGATCCGAATGGACTGAATGTGAAAGTAATTCATGCAGTAAATCGAAATGATTTATTTTGCTCGCTGCACCATAATTGTTCCCATATTTGTCATCGCTGTGGCTTTATTTGATTAATATAGCAACCTCTTTTACAGTGAGCTAAATACGAGTGCTTGTGATTGGCTGACGAACAGCCCGGGGAGTACCCCCCCCCACACCCCCACCCCTCGCCAAAGTTAGCTGGGATAGATTCCAGCTCATACGCGACCCTGATGAGGACAAGCACCATAGAAAATGGATGTGTAAGTGTGTGTAAGGAGATAAACATGAAATCTTAACCTTGATGATTGAGCGTGTAACTTTGCTGAACACGAACTAACCGCTTTGCTTTCATGGATGAGGCACTCATGCTTTGTCAGCTTGTCGTTTTTCCATCATTCTAAGCAAGACGAGGTGACTCCACGGTACAGAGTATGTCGAACTGTTCAATCATTTCTTTATTTATGTACTTCACAACCACAACAAAGCGGTTGATGTCACAGTCCACATGCGCATGTTATCGGCTGCGAATCGCCGCCAGCCAACTTATGATCGGCGCCGCGTACTGTATAAGGAATCGCGACGAAAAAAGATAATTTGTTAAGGGTTCCATCTTGAATCACAAATTGGCCCAAATTGAACTGCGACTCGATGTCTGTTTGGCGATTTTTCTGCCGGCCTAAGCAACCCACGTGCAGACGTATTCATAATTTTGTCGTCTTTTATGCATCCTGGGTGCATTCCATCATTACAACTCACAAATATTCCATATTGTATAACTTTTATTTCTCTGTGGCTCAGCGGGGGTTCCACCCTAACGCCGTTCTGACGTTACGGTTTTTAATAAGCAGTCAATAAATCCACTGAAAAACAGAAGTGGTCCAAAACGGTTTTCTCATGCACATCTGCACCTAATGAAATCCTATACATCTCCATTTTTTTTATCGACTGTAGAGAGGATCAAACCGGAGATTTTTTTTTATACTCCTAATTTGAGCAAGTACGCTTGCACTCGCGTGTATGCAGGAATATTTGAAAGTTACACCCACGTCAGTGGCTTGACGGCGGGGGGTCTGCCGATGCCCAGAGAGAGGAGGCGCGTTTGTGTGGTAATTGTTCCGCTCGTTTTGATGACTTGCTTTTTATGCAAAACACGCCAAAAGACAATATGCAATTATCTTGAGGGGAGAGCAGCTGAATGCGGCTGATGAACAGTCTGGATTCAATCATACACTTAGTGCGTTATATGCTATTAAACTGCAATACAGATAATGGCTTCCATTGCCTACCGAGTAATAATCCTGCCCGTAATCACCTCCATTACTTTTATTAGTCTTGGCATTATCATCATCATCACTCTTATTAATATTGGTCTACTTTTCCACAAGAATCAAATATCTTGTACCATCAAACGGTGGAAAGAAACACTCAATACGCACAACACTTGTGTTCAGGAAGGCAGTGTACTTTTAAATGTTAAAATCCTTATCACTGTATTTTCAAGTGATTTCAAAAATGGTGTCTTTCTTTTACACTAAATTCAAATATATCTTGTATAACATACAAAGATGCTTGAAGATTTTGCTTTTCTGTGAATCAATGAGCCAGTATTTATTGAAGTGTTGCGCTTTCCTAAAATGGCAGCACAGGGGGCTCGCGGTTAGCATGTTATGAAGTTAGCCTCTTCTCTCCAAGCCTGTATCGGTATGCATCCGGTAATCCAGATTTCTCCGGCATGCGTGTTGGGTTAATTCAAGATTCTAAATTGTGTGAATGCGCGCGCCTGACATACACGCGTATCTGTCAAAACAGTCACCAATCCTCCCTGCTTCCCCAGCTGCTCGGGAACTACCGGGGGAATGCTAGGCACTAAGCTAACTTGCTAACTGGCTATCTAGTGTGGCTGAACGCTGTTCTTCCACGGTGCAGAAGAGTAGCTGATTTTGAGAGACCCCAAGCAAGAAGAGAAAACGGGAAGACGGAGTGGCTATGCTAAACGCTAAGCTAATGTGAAACGAAGAGTCGTGAACTACCAGAATAAGTGCAACATAAGTTACATCAGAGAGTTTAGACATAAAATAATACAACAGCTCCACTGAAGGACAAATTCTCTGAGAAATGAACCAGTACTTTACCGCATACATCAGTCAGGAGAAGCCTATAAGGTCTGAAAGACGGTTATTGTTTTGTACATTGAATATGTAACATATCAGAAATGTTATTTGTATTGGTGTAATTTGTACACTTATGTTTGTATCGCCATATATACCCCCACGGTGAAGTAATTCAATTTATACCGCCCAACCCGAACCCTGCCTCTCGCCCAAAGTCAGCTAGGACAGGCTCGAGCAGCCTCACCCGCAACCATAATGAGGATAAGTTGCTCGAGAAAATGGATGGATGAGCGGTTTCTGAGAACTGCTTCACATCTGTGTTGCATGGAGTCAACCAACTTCTGGCATAAATTCCAGTAAAAGCTATTATAAGGATTGTGTTTAGCACACTGCTATTATATCGAACATACACGTCGCTTATGTGGGTTGCCACTGATCAGTGGCCGCATCTCCCCACTTCAGAGTAATTAAATATAATTAAAAGTAAGATGAGTGAAATACTACAAACTCACAGCCTCTGCGCAAGTCAGTTGCTCCATGATCACATAATCAACAACAGATTGGTCGACTATGTCACTGGAAGGCAATAGAAATAGAGCAGAACCAACAGATTTGAAAGCCAAATAAGGTTGAAACAATGTCAACCTCTAAAGTCACATCATAGAAGGGTACGAGTATTTGATATATGGCTAAAAAAAAATACGATGACAACATAAACATTTAAAACTCGCCTCGCAGGCTCAAACGGTAAACCTTGCTTGGCACGTTTGTAGTTCAGGGTGCACACACAGTTGATTATTTGTAACTGTTGCTACAGACAGCAACTCTATACATTTGGAGAAGAATGTTGAGACCACTTATTTCCATCCATCCAACCACATCCATTTTTTTTTTTTTTTTTTTTTTTGGGGGCGCTTGTCCTCATTAGGGCACCTATGGACAAATAAGAGCACGCATGGCCACGTTTTTCTGCTCAAGGGTGAGAGATAAGAATTCATTTGTTGATGAAGTTAAAAAAAAAAAAAAAGGAAGGGGCGGGGGGTTAAAATGGATATGTTATAAATAGATCTTTTAATTGTTGAATAATTAATCATTTGTCAGTATTTTAAGTATTGAATAATTTTGGACTGAATTATTAAATGCAATCGGTCCCTTTAACTATTCATTTATTTTATATACAATTGTTTTTGCGTATTCTTTAATTACTTTTATTAAATGTAAGAAATTATTTTAAAATGTATTTTTTAATATCCGACTCATTTTTAATGTCATTTATTTATTACATTAATAAATTACATCATGCTATATCCATTATTTTTTTCCAGTTAATTAACAAATCGAGCGATACTAATGAAAACAACACAACTGTAAACACTTTTTAATCAACTAATTTTCGGGAGAAAAACTGCTTTATGAATGCAACGTCTTCTGGGACATGCATGTTTTTGGAATGTGGGAGGAAGCAATTTTCATTTATTCCACATTTGAACGACTATTAAGAAGTTGCTTCAAATCGACAAACGGTTTCGTTTCCGATCAGATAACAACCAAATTCGAACAAATGGACCTGACTCCAGTAAGCGCTTGTGTTGTGTTCGACCTTTCAGGATTTAAAGATCCCACTCGATTGAAACATTTGAATTCCCAGAACATTTGAGCGAGGTTATACAGAAAGCATGTGTTTTCATTTGCCTGACTTTGCACGTGCGACATGTGTGCACCCCGGTCTTGTCTTTTTGATGCTGAGCATTGGGAGGGGCACCAATCAAATCTTTTTACTGGCTCAAATTTACGAGTGCTGCTCCAGAGGCGTTCCGGCTGACGCGCTGCGAGTACCACAAGATTCCCTGGCTGAACTTTTGACTCTTGTGTCCCCTGGCCAGAAACTGTGGCACAAGCGTTCCGTTCTAAACATTCTGGTCCCAGCCCGATTATAATATCTGCTTGGTTTTAAAAGAAAAAGAAAAAAAACTAACCTAGCCTAAAAATAAAGAACAATGGCACCCAGTAGGATTGTGATTTTTTAGGGTATGTTTCTTTTCTGCACGTGTGCTTATAAGATACCTTCATGCGAATGGGAGAACCAGATTTGCGATGCGCTGGAATGGGGTCCGCCCCGGAAGGAGGGAGAGGAAGGCGAGGAGGGCGGCCGGGAATGGTGAGACGGGTGGGAAGGGGGTGAGCCTAGACTGCTGGCCAGAAAGGTCCCCATGAAGGAGGCGGAGGAATTTCCCATCAATCCACTGCCTGTATGGAGGAGACAAAACAGTCTTTGATATGTTGTCAATTGGCGCGAGGAGAAAGAAACATCTGACATGTCTGTCAACCTTTTTTTTTTTGTGGAAGAGGAAACCAGCGGCCCATATATGGGCATGTGTAACAGGAAAGCGGCTGTATAAAAGGAACGTGTTTGCGTTGAGATGTTCTTCGTACACTAACCCCCGCTAATCATGAGCGATGAGCGACAAAATTAGTCATTGATGCCCCCCACCGAAATATTTGCAATCTTAATCAAGTGTAAATATACCAACAACAAATAAATATCGAATATAGCCTATTATTGACAAGTACAAACAGTAAGAAATTAATCACAGGAATACTACTGGACAATCTGAGGAATGGTGACCTCAGGTGAACGGAGACAAATGAAAACATGAAAGCCAGATTCAGACGAGGCAAGGACTCTGATTGGCCACTCGCATGTATTGCACCTAACGTGCCTCGTAGGGGAGAGGAAACATACTGCCTTGAGGCCATTTCTCATCGACACAGGCTTTTGGCTCCATAAGCGTTTGAAAAAACAATGAAAATAGGTGAGATGTTTTTTTTTTTTTTTTTTTGTTTTGTTTTTTGTTTTTAGAAAATAGCAAACCACGGCCAGGCAGGAGAATACTGTCGTGCAGACGGTGTCCTGAATGGACTGTAAGGAGACGATTTATTGGGAAAGCCACACAAAAATCAAAATGCTCCATGTAGATTCAGAGGCTGCCTGACTTCCACTGTGTAATAATTAAGCATGGCACATTTCAACACTGCCCCGGGAAAGGGGTGAATGAACGCACAACAATGCGTGCGTGCGTGTGTGTGTGTGATGAGAGCGTAACACTCTCATGCGCTCTGACACAAGAGTCGTGGACCTCTCTCCCCTCACTCCACCGCTCCCTGTGGGCACACAGAGGTCTCATCTCACAGCTGAGCACACACTTTTCCAGGCTCGCTCCCTCTTGCTCTCACACACTTTCGCCTCTGCTCCCCAGTGTGACACACACACACACACACACACACACACACACACACACACACACACACACACACACACACACACACTCTCTCTCAGTCCCTCTATTATATCTCAAGTCTCTTTTCCCACTTATCTCATCTTCTGATTTCGCAGCGGGGATCCAACAATCCCACCCTTTTTTTTCCCCTTGAGTTAAATTTAGACGTTCTTTCTTGGTCCCATCTCAATAAGCAGAAATACACTTGTGGTGGTATGTAATAAGCATTCCAATCTCTCCGAGCCCAAGTTATGTCATCCTAAAATCGACTAGGCCTTAATGAAGCAGTTCCCAAAATAGAAATTTGGTTCCGCGAAGGGATCCAAATGCACTAAACGACATCTATTGCCATAACATCGACTAAACTGGACAGAAATGAATGAAAAGGCAACAGATGTGCATCCTTAATTTGTGTTACCAACATAACTCCAAGCATTTTTCTCTGTGACCCCCCCCAAAAAAATCCCCCAAACAAACAAAAACATTCGATGGAGCCACATTAGTGGCTCTTAAATTTTGGTTTTGGTAATTATGTGATTTTATCTTAGTGAGGTAAAAAATAAGAGAGAGGGTGGGGGGGTCCAGTGTTTAGCGCGTCAACCTCACAGTGTAGCGGTCGTGTGTTCGATCCCGGCTCCGGCCTTCCTATGTGGAGTTTGCATGTTCTCCCCGGGCCTGTGTGGGTTTTCTCCGGGTACTCCGATTTCCTCCCACATTCCAAAAAACACGCATGACGCGCTGATTGAACACTCTAAATTGTCCCCAAGTGTGAGTGTGAGCGCGGATGAGTGTTCGTGTCTGTGTGCCCTGCGATTAGCTGGCACCTGTCAAATGTAAAGCCATGACACTATGAAGTCGTAAAATACGTCTCTGCGATAATGGCTGAAAAATATTCTCACAGGAATTAGAAATGAGAAATATAGAATTTTTGGTTTTGCCTCTTCCAAATAGAAAAAATATATATATTACATGGATTAAAGCTAGAATACAACCATCCAAAGTAAAACTACGATTCATATTACAAAATATAAGTGCATAAATGTACACACACACCAAAACAAATTTGGCCTAATGCTGATTTTTATGAAATGCAATGCAAATCCAGTGGGCACCAAAACAAAAACATCAAAAGGCCTCATCGCGAGTGGGCTGCGTCGCACTTTATGCTCTAATACGTTCTCCCGTGTAGCTTCTGCTTTACAATTACCTTACCGCTTGTTCCACTGGTGAGAAATGAGTCTCGTCTCCCAGTTCCTCACGTTTCTGACGCTGAGCATCACATTAGGCCTTGTTCTACACCATGATGATTCCAGCAAAAAAAAAAAAAAATCCATCCCTGGCTGCCGTGTTTAACAAGACCGCGATGAGTAATTGACCAATCGTAACAATGCAGGAACATGGACGATACTGTGGGGCTTGTCTATTATGCATTGCTGGGCAAGCCGGGGTAAAACACGCTCATTAACGAATGCTTAAATTGCTTTGCCCTTATTTGCCCACGACACCCCCACCAGAGTTGCGCGACCGCCAAGTGTCATGCTTATGTATGAAGACGCCACTCATGCGCACGTTTGTCTGCCACATGGCGCTGGAAATGCTACGTGTAAATCATAGCGGAACTCAATTTGACAGCGTTGCACGAATCCACAATTTTCTGCATCTCATTTCCATGTAAAGGACGCACACAAATCTGAATCTCAGTTCAAATCTCAATTAAATTGCATTGAAAAGAAAGAATTATTTGCCCCCTGGGAGCAATTCAATAATCTACCGGAAATTATTGTAATGGCTTTTTAATTCATGTATTTATGGAGCACTCCTGGTTTTGTTTCCTGGCAAGGACGGCAGAAATTCCATGTTGGAAATCCCTTTCCACTACTGTTTTACGAAGAGATTTTTTTGCCTTCTTTTTACACAGAACACAGTAAAGGGAAGGCGATTGTGCTTTCACGCAGAGATGCCATCCAGGAATCGGATGAAAGACTGCGTAACCAGCGCCCATTGTGAAGTCCGAGGTAAGATTCGGACAGTCTTGTGTGAAACCTCACTTCACTCCATTCTTAAATCGACCATTTGCTCATTCATCCAAGGTGAAATATTGGCGCAGAGACTTGGCGCCGTTTTGTACAGACCAAATCTGGATGAATTCTGTCTTGAACACGCTGCACAAAAGGGGCGACTCTTTTCATGATTGGTTTTGCGGTATTCAGCCGAGCTGGAATAGGTGTCGAGGTGACGGGAGGCATTGTGTGGCAGCCTGCTGACACGCTACAATGTCATCGCCTTTCTGCTTTGTACCCCCCACCTTATCGCCTCCATCTCCGATGCCACCTCAAATCACCCGAGTGCCTGCGGTAAAGCCCTGTCACAGCTCCAAAGAAGACGGCTGGGGTGGGGGGGTCGAGGACAGTGGAGGGGATGGATTAGTGCCAGCATGGTTGGCAGGCACGCATCCAGCTCGCATCATTCAGACACCCACAACTGCCGTACGACGCCGCTATCTACCATATATACACTACCCTGCCCCGTTTTCTGCTTATTTCCCCTCTAGGTACCCAAGCCAGGCCTCCTCAGTGCCTGCGGCTCACATAAATCAGCTAATCCTCTTGCATTATTAACAGCGTCGCCCCGGAGAGAAAGAAGGGGGTGAGAGAGACATCGGGAGTGACAGCAAGGTCTTTTTGTGCACAGCAATAGAGAAAGGTGTCTCTGCAAGGATGACAAGAGAGAAAACATAGTAAAGGGAGTGTCTGGATGTCAAGCAAGGAGACATTAGTGGAAGAGCAGTACTTGATGGAAAAAAAATCTCCCTTTTCTCAATACCAGATTGGAAATAATCCAATTCGCGCCGTGACACCGTGTCCTCAAATTGGAATCGTAGAAGGTCCAAGTGCTGGTCTTGAACCCTTCTCGTGCTATATCGAGTCCTCTAAGGCACAGGTGTCAAAGTCAAGGCCCCGGGGGCCAGATCTGGCCCGCCACATCAATTTATGTGGCCCGCGAAAGCAAATCAAGCATGTCAAGTTCCACGATGCTTGCTGAAGTCTGAACCCAAATATCAAATTGTCATCTGTAATCCATAATAACATCTGATATTGCAAGCATCTTTCCATTGCCAAACCCTTAATTACAACTCATTCACTCCCAAAGACGTTTTTAAACGTCTTTTCAGACTTGGTCTAGAATTGGCTGGTACTGATTAATGTAAACAATGTTGAAACAAGTCATTATTCTTGACTCCTGATTTTAAAACTAGTTATCCATCAATTCGTTGTGCCCTGCGTATGGAATATGTGGAGGTGATTAAACATTTATATGGTTTCACAAAATTCACCGTCATAACGGAAACCGTAACTACAATGTGGCCCGCGACAAAAATGAGTTTGACACCCTTGCTCTAAGGTCTATTTCATTCGGTGACAACACGAAGCGTAATGAATCGGAGGTGTTGCTGAGAGAGTGCGTCTTGTAAGACTCGTCTGGTGTGTCAAAGCGGGTTTGGGAGCCATCCGAAGCGGACAAGTTCAGGCTGTTTTTGGAAGTCATCAGAACTTTACACGTGTTTGCTTAGTCAAGGAGCCCACCGACGCCGAGCCAGCACCGTGTCGATGTTCTGATGTTCTATTCTGAGCTCCAGTTCTTGAGTGGTGCCAGCAGAGCACTTGTATAGGCACCGATTTGGTGCTCATCCCTCACAGCGATGGAGATGAATCCCATTCAGGAATTTAGGGAGAAGGGAGCATTTCATGGGCTGTTCACACCTCCTCGCCTGAGCCATCCTGAATCGTATGTGCAACACAAACGTCTGGAGGTGGAGCTGTTGAATGGATGCGTAAGGGACAATGAAGCTCAGTTTGTTCCCAATCACCGTCACACATATTCATAAAGAGATGGACTGGAGCCCCCCCCCCAACCCGACAGCTCGGAGTGAGCAGCAGGCAGGTAGAATAAAGGCCCCGTCCGTTGTCA